GTGTGTGTGTGTGTGTGTGAAATTAGAGGTTAAGTGGTCTGAGCTAAGCAGGGTGACCCTGAGGAGAGAGGAGGTCAGAATAAAAGAAAGGAGAGTATTGTCTCTTACTATCTCTATCAGCACCTCACTGCTTACTGGTTAATCATCCGCTGACTGACAGCAGACCTAGTGAAGCCCTAATTTCTCTGTGTGTTTATGCAGGTTTTTTTGTTTAGTTTCGAAATGTGCAAAAATAGAGAGAGAGCACAAACAAACTTTCCAAAGACCTTGCTGTGGGATAAACCATCACACAAAGGAAATGTATCTTAGATGCTCTTTTACTTAATGCATAATTTAAACTGCAGTATGCACGACAACACGAATGTGCAACTTATCATGTGCATATGCATAAGTAGCAGTGTGCACACACTTGTGTTCGTCAGCTCCTTCCGTTGTGCACATGTTTACCTCGTTCCCTGTGTAAACCATTAAATATCTCATCTCCATTCTGACCCCTATAACTCCATTTTATGGCTTTTCCACATGGCCTATGAAGAACTTGCGGGGGCTTTATTTTGGACGTGGCATGTTTTTACTGGGGGCCCCAACGCTTTACTACTCACACTGTATCCCAAACCGCAACACCCCAGGAACCCAGGAGCATGCTGTTGGGTCTGAAAGTGGTGACCATGGTCAGTCGAGTTCAGATGAGGTCATATACTATAACTGGTCTGCAAAGGACTTCTCATAAGTAGCACAGGGTTTAAATGTGAAGTTAATAATTAGTGGTCAGCCAAAAAAGAAACTGTTTTCCATTTGCTTATGCTAACCACCCCACAGTCTTCATGTGTTCATCAAGTTCTCACCTAAGTTTAATTTGTACATACACTCCTTCTTGCGGTGGTACCAAAAGATGGGATAGAGAAGGAGAAGGAGAAGTAGGCGAGAAAATGAGGGGAGAGAGGACAAATGTAGGGAGATAGTATAAAGGAAGAGAAAATATGGACAGAGGGAGCAAAAGTGAATGAGGCAGAAAGAAAGACAGAGAGTGAGAACACAGCGGGAGGGGAGCACAGGGCAGACTGTAACCAGGTTGAGACCACATCTTTCCTCCGCCTCACTACCTATACAAACCATTAATCAGCAAAGAGAACCAGGAAAGATCAACAAAAACAGTCCAGCAGGGACCGCAGCACACCGTACCTTCGCATCACTCACTGAAAAAAGCCCACAGCCTTATACATCCATCAAGCAACTCTATTCTCTCCCTTCTAACTTCCTCCTGTCCCTCCATCTATCCTTGATTCTTTCCCTCTCCCGCTCCAGATTCTTTCTTTTTTTCTTTTCCTCTTGTTTTCCCTATTCATCACTGTCGTTATGGTAGATGTTAGCAAGTCATTTTTGAGTCATGTATACCTTCTTTAAGTCATTACACCTCAACCTCAAAATAAAAACTTAGTGGAGTCTTCTGGCAGGACACACTGGTGACACTGGTGAGGAGAGAGGACACGAGATATGTGGGGTCACATCTCAGAAAGTTAAACTGAAATACCACAGACTGCTCTCAAAAAAAGACATGTTGCCACATCGCAAAAAGTAAACGATAGGCGTGCTGCTACTAACACCTCTGCTGGCATTCAGTGAGGAATAAAATATCAAACGTTATGTTACTGTGTTATTTATGTGCCTGACTTTGACTTCAGCTCTGGATTTCCTGTGTGTTGGTAAGTGGCCACCAACAAGATGGTCGCCTTAAGTGCCGAACACATAAATCAAAGCATATCAACCTTCAGAAAATGAAAATCTTGACTAATATCTGCCAAAGACATTAAATACAACATGATTTGTTGCATTAAAAATGAAGATAATAACCCAGATTATGTCTCTCACGGATTTAGAGTTACCACTTAAGAAGAAGACATTAAATACAACATGATTTGTTGCATTAAAAATGAAGATAATAACCCAGATTATGTCTCTCACGGATTTAGAGTTATCACTTAAGAAGACAGCAGACACAGCAATGAATCTGTATGTCTTTTCACAAGAATATCTGCAATACCTGTTAACCAGTGAGCCACAACACACAGGGCCTACTTTTCTTTTTTTAACAGCCAATATCCCTCTCATGTTATTCCATGTATACTGCCATATAGATGAGAATAGAGTAGCGAATAAACTTTGTGTCTAATACGGTCATGCATACAGTGTCTCAGTCCATACTTTAGTTACTGTTATGCAATGACTTGAGAACTGACATTGTGGGCAATTTACCCTACAGCACACCCCCAAACACCTATTCACATAAATTATGTCAGAATATTGCTGGAATAGCCTAAATGTGTGTGATTTGGTTGAAGAGATACAGTATATTGGAGGGAATGTAAAGTTTTTCCCACTTTCCCAGAGTCATTAACCAATAAATGCCGTAGGACAGACCTTTCGTATGTATTTAGGCGTTTTCCAAGCTTTGTTTAAGGAGAGGCCCACAGTCTCAGACTTTAAAAACTCCTGGGTTAGATCATAGTCCTGTCATAACCATAGACTATACTGTATATAAGAAGTCACCATGACGTCACCCATTGGTTTGTGAACAGTGGTTTTGAAGCCTCGAGTTCGACATTTTGGCATTTGCCATCATGAGAAAGTGGAGCTAAGTAAAAGCAAACATTTTTAGGCAACCAAAATGTTACAATTAACTTTCATGAACTGAAAACACACTGTGAAAAGGTTGAAGCTCTAGGACGAAAACACTGACAGCTCCCAAACTGGACAACACCGTGGAAACGACCTGTCAGTAACAAGGTAGCCACAACCTAGAGCATACCCTGCTTTATCGTCTATTTTACTCTTAATGGAAGAAGACTTGAAAGTAACGAAACGTCATGTGTAAATTAGGTGCCTTCTTGAAGAATGTTTTACATTTGTTTCAATAATTTATGTCGCACTTTATTCCTGTCATTGTTTTGTCATTACTTATTGTATTTTTAGCTCGTACCCCATACAAGGCTTTGACCTGGAATCTCAAAACAGATTAGAGTCTATTCCATGTAAATACATCGAACTGGATGTGATGCAAGTGTCACTTAATAAACAGGCCTACAGGTCTTAACAGTTTGATTTGGCCCCTTTCAGTACAATGTTTATGTTCTTAGTCAAAGCACCTGCAAGCCCCTTTACCACTGAGCTTATGGCCTGTTGCTTTGTCGCTGGCTAGTTAAATATGAAGGAAGGTCTCCGATAGGTCACCTGATCTGCTGGAGTACAATTACGGTCCTGCATTGTTGTCATCGGGGCAAGAGTGACACATACACGTACTGTATTAAAGGGTTATGTTTCCACAGATGTGGGCAGCCAACTGACAATGCTTACACACACACACATTATTTTCCACATTTTCCAGTTATCTGGAGCCGTATTTAATCATGCCAATTTAGAAGCTGTCCTTAACTTTGACTGACAAATAAATACACTTCCATTTTCTCATCCCCTCGCTCACAGTGCCTGCTCTGTTCGCTGACTGGTCCCTTCTTAGTCCCATCCTGATGTGAATTGCTTTTAGAGACAAGTGTCTGTGAGATGAAGCTGCTCCTCAGGTCTGGGAGACAAGAGACACCAGTATGTCTCTGGGGGAGTGGACTACGGTACCAATCACTGTCATTCATAATAAAACCTACCTGGCACACACACAAACACACACACGTACGTATATTGGGAGGGGTATGATGCCCTAGTAGTCATGAGTAAAACTGAATGTAAATCTGGGGCTCTTTTGGAATTTTATGTGAAATAGAGGAAAGCTGAAACAAACTGCTAAAGGGAGATGAAGTAATAATATGAGTAGATGGAACGAATGAAGGGAGATCCTAAGAGAAGTGCTGTGCTTTCTAGTCGAACGATAGTCGGACAGTAGAGGAATGCAGGGCCACGGCTGGCCTCAAGCGCACTCAATATCTTTACTCATCCTCTGGTTTGCCCACTTAGTCCAGGAAACCCTAGCCTTTCCCAAGCGGGGGAAAATGCCACTTCAATAGCAGGGAAAAACTACTCAAGACCTGACAGCGTAAGTATTATGGTGTGTATGTCTTTGCGTGGGTGGGTGACTATGTGTATGTGTGTGTGGGTGTGTGTGTGTGTGTGTGGTGATCAAGACTGTCGGATCTGTTTACAGCCCGCTGCAGTAGCCTATGAGAAGTAAGAGGAAGACAGGCTACAGACCACAGTGATGTACCCAGTGCGCAGTATTATAGTCTATTATATATATTATATTATATATGCCTGCCCACTCAAGGGCATGATTTTCATTTCAGCATTTCAGACACTCAAACAAAAACATGTACACAGAGAAAAACCACCCACTACAAAAAACAATTCCTTCAAGTATGATGTATTCTGCTAGCTGCGAGGGCCAAAATTCCTTGCACATGTATGGACAATTAGGCCTAATTTTGGCCCAAATTGCTTCCTGTAATGATGAGTGGACATAGTTAGCGGGCCATTTTCAACTGCCCAACACAAAAAGATCTAAAGTTCTAAATCATCAGTTCCAAGTCTAGAGAGTGATGGAGAAAAATGCAAAATGCTACCCTCCCTACACACACACACCTCCATCTCTCTACGTACAACCCGACTCCATCCCTAACAGCAGTGATATAATCATTAGAGCCATAGAGTTTAGAAACTTCAAAGAGGAAAAAGCTGCCAGCTTTCTCCATCCAGCCTTTTGACTGAGTGACCCTCCCACATGTATCAGCTCACTGGTGGACTACAGGAGCCAACCACATAGACATTGTATCCACCCACCTCAACATCCATTAGAGAAACAGAAAGAGAAAGAAACCAGGAAAAAAGCCAGCATTTTGTACACTCGCAGAAGTCGCGATGACCTCGGTCATCTAAGTATCTGTGCATGCAAGTTGGTCATAAAGACTAGTTGGTCAACGCACATTGATCCTCATCACAGTAAATGCACCAGAGTTGGACCAACAGCTACTTTTCTGTGTGAGTGCGGGTGTACTGACCTCTGTCTGCAGTGTATTGGCCCGCTGCTCCTTGGCGCTGAGCGACTCTTTTAACACCTCAATGTGTTGCTTGCAGTCGGAGTTCTGATTGGTCAGTGTTTCAAGTTTGGTCTGAAGGGCCTGCATCTCTGACTCCTTCCTGTTCAGCTCCTGCTTCTGCTGCTCAATCTGACAATCACAGAAGCACAAGCACAAATTAGTTATGAAAATCTTTTTGTCATCATTAAGTCAACAGATAACAAAAACTTTCAAAGTGAGAAGAAATGATTTTTTATCCCACGCAAACACACATGCAGGCTCACAAACCACATACACTCCAATGTGTGTGTTGCTGTTGTGTATCACTGAATGGAACAATTTTCCACACACTTTGTTCTCTATGAACAGGACCTTCAGAACAAGCGTTTTGAAAGACTTAAACATGCTGTTTAATATAGAAGTGGGCAATATGCACTGAACTGATGGCGTGATCGCTATCTCGTCACTCAAAATCACGGTGAAAAGTGTTACAATTCAAATTGTTTTACTATACAGAACAGAACAGAAAACCACATACGAAATCAAATGCATTAACAGAGGGAGGTTTCTGTGCTAGTTATGTGCAGAAGATTGTCATCTGTCCACTGGTGCCAAAAATGCACAAAGCTGATACGAAGAGAGATTTCTCTCATTTTGTGAGCAGGGTTCACCTCAACGGGGGAATTGTGACTGGACAAGAGATTGGCCAATCAACCCTCAGAGAAATAAAGAGCCAGAGAGAGAAGGGAGACGGGACAGAATAAAAGGACACAGGAGCAAGAAGGCGACCCTGTGTGGTGAGACTGGAGAGAGGATAGTAAGACAGGGACCAAAGGAAGTAGAAAATGGTATGGAATGGACAAAAAAAATATATGATCGAGCAACAGATAAAACCAGGGGCAAGAATATGAGTTTGAATGAAAGAAACACTGTTTCTTTCTTTGGAGAGGGGCTAATAAGAGGGGTACTTCTGCTTGTTCTGTGATCCAGGGTTGTTGGGGCGTGAAGAGGAAGGTGGGAGCTGTTCTGATGGAAGACAGACATGGTGACAAGGCCTGCTCCTACAGAGACACAAAGACAAGAGGACAGCAAGCCACTAAACTACAGCACACAGCAAGCTGGGAAACTGGCTGCGTGCTCCTCCACACTCTGAACTCCTCAACCACACCGCTGAGGATTCAGAATGTTACACTTGATCAAGTTCTGTTAGAAAAGATAATCTGGATATAAATTCATACTCGGTCATGCTTGAACAAATGTTCCTGTTCTCAGAAGCCACTTTTTGGTGTTGGAGTAAATCAAAGCCCACAGAGGAAACCAGAGAGGACAGGGATGCTGTCCTCTCTGGTTTCTCTTATCACAGTCTCACCTCAACACCAGTCGCCACCGCTGCTGAAAGACCAGGACCCTAAACACTTCAAGGATATAGAATGAATCTGTGTGACTGCGCATGGTGTCTCTCTGTTACGCAGAAAGATGAGACAAGAGAGAGCGAGCCAGTACCATCACTGTGATGTATATCATCCCAGGTCAGGACGGGCGAGGAGAGAACTCTTTCCTCTGTCGCTGTAAGCTCACATTCATCTGTCAGGGGCCCATTCATGAAAACATCTCTTTTATGATTGCATCAAGAACTTCCCCGATGCAATGACAAATGGGCCCTACAATGAGCACCATTAATAAACAAAAGAGATACATTTTCACAGGGAGCTCGAGTCATCAGCCTCAGCCATAATGGACACTCAGCTAGAAACTCTGTGAAACATGAAACTACATTTTTAAATATGGCTATTCAAATGTTGTGCACGCCAGTCCGGGGCACTGCTGGGTCCCAATGAATAAACCATACAGCCTGGAATAGAGACATATTAGTCGGGCCTTTCTAAAGGTCCTCCTGCCAGCTGAAGTTGGTAAACAGACCCGGTGCACTGTAAGCCGATACGGCCTGAGCTTGCTCCCTCAGAACAGTCAGCCGTCACAGATAGGAGAGCAGTACAATGCTTGGTCGTCACACCAGGTAAGGTAAGGCACACAAATATTTCATGGGAAATAAGGAAGAAAGAAGAAACCTCACTCTGAATAGGAAATAACAGATATATTAATAAGCGTAGGAGTTCTTGGTATCAACTCTAAAAGCCTCTAAAAAGCAGCCAAAAGACACAATATTCTGTAACATGCAGTTCAGCAAGATTTCACCACACTCGTGCTTGCTTCTCCATGAACATGCAATGGCGACATGCAACATGCACATAGCAGGTTCTCTCGCAGTCATAACTGATGTTTCAAGGCAAACATGCATCGCTCGGGTCATACAGTGTGAAGTTGTCTCAAGTGGCGTGCAGAGACATTCTACCTTAGTCTTCATGAATTTAGAATGGCTCTTGTAGACCTCCACCTGCTTGAACTCATCCTGCCTTTCGTCAGGGTGCAGCAGGCCGCTGGTCTTTAACATCTGGACCTCATCCTCCATGTCTCTGATGTTCCTCTCCAGGGAAGAGATCTTGGTGTCCTGCACCAGCAACAGTAGGCAGGCACAGAGTCAGCAAAGATCTAGTCTCGCATAGCCAGACGTAAGTCCACAGTGCTGTGTCATCGCTAAAGAAAGGTCAGGCGCCACACTTTATCATTCTAGTTTTGGGGGAAAAACGCTCTGGTTTGTATATATTTCTTTAACCCAATCACAATCGTCTTGGACAACATTAAGCACAGGATGCAGCGGCAGGCTCCAGACTTTATTAGGGGCTTACCTGTCTCAGATATCACTGATCTATCCATTAACTTATCCCTCCAAGATGTCATGCAAAAAAAGTACAAATACAGAAAGAAGCGATGCCGTTTAAAAACAGGGTAAGCGTGCATATTATGAGGAAGACTCTTATGAAGACTTTTATAGTGCTACACTTGTTTGTTCACATGAAGAATGACAGAAATAGCTGTGTGGAGAATATAAAATGGTAGCTCAAGAGATATGTTCAAACCCTGGCTCCAATGTGACCGAAATTGTTGGAGACAGCCTTAATCACACTAATTAAACAGTGATTCATCATATTCACAGAAGAGAATGTAACATCCTCTATCTAGATTATAACTATTTAATGTGTACTCCTATTTCTGACTAGAATGTCTAGTAAAACAGGGGAACTGTCAAGGCAGACAGTGTGTGTGCAGCCAAGATGTGTCTATGAGGGAATGGAAGGGTCTGTCGTGGACAGGTCCTCAGGTTGTTTAGCTGCATGGGTTCAGACATACGTTAAATGCTAAACCTTGGAAGGGAAGAGACAGGTAATTGAATAAATGGAAGCAGATTGCATGATGCCGTCAGCACAAACCACAGGCAACATATAAGCATCTGACCTCTATTACATCCTCTGACATCAGCCCTGCCTAGCACCAATGCTGCATACCATCCTAAACAAACACAAGTAGACCAGGCCAACAGGAATGCATAAAGATGCATATAACACACACACACACAGTGTGTATGCAAGGACATCTTTTCAATGAACACCTAGGAAAGAAAGTTAAGGTGGGGCATTCAGGCGTCTGGGGGAATCCCTCCACACAATACAAAAATGACCACACACAGACTATGCTATTCAGTCATTTACATTGCTTTACATTGATATCTGATTTATAAACCTCGCTCTGTGTTTAATATCGGATTCTGCTCCAGAGCACATAGAGACCGAAACAACATTCAGTACAAAAGGAATACATGTACCTCAAAGCCACTGAAACATGAACTACTGTGCATGACGGTGCTGCATTCCAACCAAGGAAGAATTGATGATAGAGATACGGGACAACACAAATACTGTATACTTGTAACCCATGTTGAGTTGACAGAAGGATTAAGAGGTGAGCACGTATTACTGTACCTGCCAGATAACATCAGGATCAAAACAGAAAGGGGAGTTGGTGTTCTGTAATCACAAAACGGAAACATACACCACTTAGAAAAAGCAACAGCACACGCACACACACACACACACACACACACACACGCACAGCACGAAAAACATACAGAATTGTGCGTGATATACTCAACAACATAAACAGAGGACAGTTTCAAAAATCCACAATGAAGGAAAATATGTCATTATCAAATTCACCAAAGGAAGACTGTTACTGTATCTGTCTCTCTCTCCCCCTTCATAAGACTAATCCTTCTGGCAATGTTTCTTTTGCCTTTGTAATCAATGCCGTCAGATTCTCTCATGCATTTGCAACAGTGTGAGCGTCCTAGCACATGTGCCGTCTGTTAATAGGCAGACAAATCACAAAGTATGTGTGAAAAATAACTGTGGTTTTGCTGGAAAGGAACCACTTTTAGAACAAGTGTTTGCTGAATGAACACTATATGTGTGTGTGGGGGGGCTGTGCATGCAGACACATGTGGAGTCAACTTTGAACAGCTCGAACGACTTCAAAGGGCTGAGATGAGAGTGAAAGCTTCCATATGTGACATTTGAAACAAATTGAATAAGTGCTCAACTCTGCATGGACCAATAATGGCCTTTACATAGGCATGGCCGCCATACGGACACTAGGCAACAATAAGACAATGTTGTTTCGATTGTTTGTGCATGGATGTTTGTGTCTGCGTTTACAAGCCGAGCCCAATCCTCTACTACTGCTCCCATTTCAGCGGTGCACATCAATAAGTGAAGGTTTGTCGGTATGAAGCTGATATCAGACTAAACCAGACAACAGGCTGCGACTGAAAAGCAAACTACACTGCTCAAACAAGATCACAAGATCACACTTTATATCTTATCACAAAACCAAACGCAGTTTAAACTCGCTGATATCATTTTGATTGTTCTTGTTGAGTCCAGATCCACTGTAAGTCCTACCTTCATATCAATGACAGTCTGTAGAGCCCTGGTCTTGGCCGGATCGGCCTGGAGCTGGTTCCTACGATGGAGCTCCTGGGGAGGGACCCGGTAAAAATAAGCCTGGCGGCTCATCATCTTTAGCACTTTCTAACACCTACAGCTTCAGAGCCACTAAAAAATATGATCAGTCAGACCAGTTCCCGTCTCTATCTCTCTTAAAAATGTTATGTTATCCTCCACTGTACGTCCTTAAAAATTCTGGTTTTGCAAAAAAAAAAAAACATCCTATGATCTTTAAGCTGGACCCTGTTTGATGCTCTCCTGATGACTTCTTTCCATCTTTAACAGCAGGTGCTGGTTTATTCTCTGGTCTTTTTTTCTGTCTTTCTGTCTCTGTTTGTTAGCAGGAAGGAGACACACTCAGCTACAGGCCATGAGAATCTCTCTCTTTCACTCTTTTGGCCTTCATCTCTCTATTTCTTATCTCTCACTTGTTAACTCTGTCTCCCTCGCAGATGTCTCTGGCAGGCTAAAGCTCTTGCTTAGCAACACTTTCTACCAGCACATGCGCTACACTTCTTCTATCAATAATTAATTGCAGCTCTGACCTACAACTATGCCCACACACGAGCACACACACACACACATCCAAGCAAATGGGCACACAGCAGGTTGAACATAACTGTTGAGTATTAGGACAGTATAAGTCCATTATGGAAAGCATTTTAAATGATCACAGTATTTAAAACCTGGATTGACCATCTCATGATTGTGTATTTGTAAAATATTAGACACCTTCAAAATAATGGAAGCAAAATATAATATTGGCACTTAAAACGCCTCTAAAACGACCATAGATCTAAAACAACACCTCTCTAAAAGAGTCCCAGCTAAAAATGGAGTGAAGCATGCAAGCTTCCTTCACATGTGAAATGCGCCTATGCAACATCCATCCATCGCAACACAACCGTCATTGCTACTGCTTAGCTCTATTCAGCCTCACCACCACCACGAGACCAACTGTAGGCTCTGACGCTAGTCTCAAGGGGAAGATGTCTGCTACCACAGCAGCTATCACATATCTGTGCAGGTACGTGTGAGGTCAGAGCAAAGATACCAAACATTAACTATACGGCTGTGTGCCCTCTTCTCATCTTAATTAACTCCTACGTTATCTGACTGACTGAGCCATACTTTTTATTTTATTTCAGGGAGGTATAGCTGAGACGTCCTGTTCACACCCACACAGCCGCAGGTGTTCACACCCAGAAGCCGCCCAGCACAACCAACGTCTGATCTGCTGGCCACCAAGCGGCTCCACTGGAGCAATTGGGGGTTAGACGCACTTCAGTTGTGGTGATAAGGAATGGCTCTTGCTCAAAGGCACCTCAGTGGTGGCAACTGCTGCTCTTTTAATCCCCACCCAGATTTATCGATATTGGACAACTGGCTTGTGACCCGCAGGCTCTTCAAAGCTTTAGGCCACCACCTCCAGCTTCACAGAGGATTCATAGCGAGATCATTTTATTTATTTGTACACTGCTATAGTGTATGCTGTGTTGCAAAAAGAAAGTATATTTGTACTGCATATTTCAAGTAGAAATACAGGCAGATGCAACTGGTTGCTCCTATTCTTCCCAGTTCTCCCAGTGAGTTGAAATGAAAGTAGACAAGGGCGTTATCCTCTTGTCCACGTCAGTTGTGGATAAGGAGGGATTACTGCTGTCAGAGCATGCCTCCCACAGACTGGTATGCCCACTGCTGCCACGATCCTAATCTCCTACTAACCATATGTGTATTAATGTGTCACTGTAAGTGTGTGTCCGTTTGTGCACGTATATTTATCTGTCCCGTGGAGAGATTGTGTTTGTATTAACTCCTTATTATCAACGGTTAGAGTATAGTTTGAGTACAATAAAGGAAATTAAGTCATGCAAGAGAGCATGTCATCAAAGACCGTCTCCTCTGCTCCACATGTGTCGGAGGACCGAGCATATGGAATGAATAGGATCAAACGTAACACTTTAGCAATAAGTGTCGGCATCCTGAATGAAGGATACGGTCAAAAGGTTCAATTCTAGCCTGAAGGCAATGGTGTCATATATGACTTTCGCAAACTAGAACATGAAAAGATTCAACATAGACATAGACACACACACACACACACATACTCAAACATTCATCAATCACATTCCCATCCCTTCTCCATCAGTGAGAGAAAAAGGAAACACATTTGCTTGACAAAAATGTGAAAATGTGTCCGCCTATAAGCTCAATGGCTTGAAAGAGCGGTTTGAAAAGACAAAAACGAAAATAGGAGGGAAAGCTTTACTGAGAAATAGGGAGGGGTGAGGAGAAAGTTTGAGGGGGTGTAATTTTGTCCCGATAAACTTTTCCGCTCAAACATTCTGGGAGACCAACAGAGCATGGAGAAGATGTGGTGCCCGGGGTGTGTGTGTGTGTGTGTGTGTGTGTGTGTGTGTGTGTCTGTGTTTTCTTGCTCATTTATTTACAGTGTTCTTATTATGTTAGTTGCGAGGGGCTTCATTATCCAAGGCTGAAATAAGTCAAACAACAATGGAGCCTTAAAAAGCCCCAC